TTGATCCAACTTAGGCTTGTCCTATTCATAGAGGAGGGGAGGCTGTTGATTCCCCATTTCCCCTGATTCTGCCTGCTGAAAATGTGCTGCCGGCAGCAACAGGGACCCTTCAGATCAGCAAGAAAGATAGCGTTAAGGTGCAGGAGGAGAAATTGATAAAAATCCTCTCCTTGCTACAAGAGGCCTCTGCTAGTTCAAATGGAAGACAGTAACAGTGTAGGCACTGTTAAAATCATATCACTTAAATGTCAGTGGTCACAAATGTTATCTGAAAACATATATTGTTTCTTCTTTTTCTGGTGTTTGGGTTATCTTATTTAATTTAGTCAAATAAGACCACCCAGACATCTACAGGCCTAGGAGAACCCAAGATTTAAATAAATGTTCAAAAATCTGTAGTCCTGTACAGTTATCTCTGCCTAAATCCTATCAAACTCAGTGGAGAAACTTCTGAATAATATATAGGCCAACACTCTTAGTTAAATAATTAAAGCATTTTCTCTGGAACTTTCAGTTGTAGAAATCTAAAAGTAAGCTTGTATGTCTGCTGGGCTGAAGCTTCAGTCTCATTATTCATTAAGTGATGATTTGGGAATATGTTTTATTTAGACAGTATTCACTTTAGATACCTAACTGTACTGTATAATTTACCAAACCAGTAGAGAAAAGGATTGCTAAAGAGGAAGGGGAAATAAAAATTTGATCCACATGTATACGCAGAAGGGAATTTGCATGCAATGCCCATTTGATTCAACTTTGTGATATGAGCCACTGGAGCAATAAGCAAAAAAATGAGAAAGAGCAGTGCTGGCTCAAACCAGAAAGGAAATGTATGTTGGGCAGTGTAAACATGACTAAATAAATAAAAGTGAATTTTATATCCACATCTGTGTTAGTGAGTCCTGTTGAACTCAACAGGTCTAATTTGCATAGGGCTACATTATAAAATAGAAGCTAGACTTATTTACAGGGTTTTTTTCATAGTGTTAAGTTTTTAAAGAAAGGGTTTATCTGGTTTAGCTGTGTAATTCTTAGTTAGATTCATGGTATATTAATTCTGTGTCAGAAATAGGGTTCTGTGCTATTTGAGATATTTAAAAGTTACTGGAAGTATACCCTTAAACTCACCTGCATTTTAATTCATGTCTAGTTACTTAAATTCTGATCAGCGTGAAAAAACAATAGCAACAACAAACTCCCAAGAAGAATATGTATTTGGAAAAGAATTTAATTTCTCTAATGAAGGGTTTTTTTAATGTTGATCTTGAAACTGTAATTTTGAAGATGACATTGAGTTTGCTTGTGCAAAGTCTGTTTTTCAAAATGTAACTAAAACTCTTGCAACCTGATGTAAAACGTATCGCTTTAAAAGTAAATCCCATTTATTTAGTTATACATGCAATTCTAATTCTAGAATGTTCTAAAATAATTTATCAGGAATTTACAGAGATGGATTTAAGGTATCCAAATGTAAGTAGATGATCACTTGACAGCATATGGAAGCTTACCACATGATTTCATGAGTTTATTGCTATTTTCTCATCATCTGAATATTTTTTTTCTGTATGGCATTTATCACCATAATCTGCATTAACTCCTAGGGGTGTACGATAAAACCCCTTAGGACAGATGGTGCACACTCATCATCTCCCAATAAAATTAAGAATGCAACCAGTGTCCTTGCCTAGGTTTGCTAATAGACTGGATAAAGGAAATCAACCTGAAATTAAATCTAGATGGTATTGTGGTTCAACAGGAGACGGCACTTGGGATTCATGTTCAGCATGCTTTGAACAGGATTACCCTCCTCCTGAAAGAGCAGATCCACAGTTTAGGATGTAATTGCTGGACTGAAAGATGGTTGTTGTGTAGAATGCATTTGCTTTTTAGTCTTTTATTGCTCTAATATGCAGAAAACAAGGAATACAGAAAAGGGAATATATTTTCTTATAATACAAATAAAAACATCAACATCAGCATTAAACTTTGAACATACAGACACTGGTCGTCAGCCTTTCCAGAATGTGAATAGAAAGCTACTTCATAGGCACAGATTCAAAAACACCTATCTTCAAGACTGCAAACTAGCAGTAATATTGTCTTTCCCTCATAAAAGAATAACCTTTTCTGCTATCCCTCATGTTCAGTAAATCCATAATTCTGCCTCTGTGAATTATTGGGGAAATACAAGGCAGAGCTGGATGAGAAAGAAGAGTAAAAGGAGAAGCAATAGAAAAGAAAATGGAAGAACTGGCCTAGTGTGGTGGTCTGGTAGTTCGTAAATGATGGAGATGCTGAAAGCACCATAGAGGAGAAGTTCTATTCTTGCCACAACACAGCTGGCACTGGTGAGCCCTCAAAGGTGCAGCTGTCATTGTGGAACCATTTGGCAGAATATCAGTGGGGAGAGGAGAGTCTCAGCAGAGTTGTGTAAAGCCTGGAATGTCACCAGGCTGCCATGTGGATCTGCCAAGAAATGCAAGCCTGTGGAACTGGTGATTGCTGTGGTTGTCTGACCAGGCTAATGGAAGGAGGTGGTCAGAGAAGGCTGGCAGCAGGAAGGAATTGGAAGGTCAGGGGGGTACCTGGAAGCCTATAGGCAATGTGCAACATTTGGCAGTTGCTTCATCTGTCCCCTGTTGTAATTGGTTTACAGAGAAGACTGTTGTCATGTTTTGTGAGTCATCTTTTTTGAGATGGGCAGATAGCTAGACTTCCACCCATCCCTCCGATTTCCAGAACAACTACTTCTGACTGAAGTGCATTGAAAGGGAGATTTAACTTGAGCAGATAGTTCCAAGGTAATCTGATCCAAGTCATGGAGGACTTGAATTTATTTTATTTATCGTATTTATATAGCTGCCCATCTCACATAAAAGTGACTCTTTTTGTGCTCGGAAACAAAGAGATAGCTGGTGCAGCACCTAAATCAGTGGTGTAATCCTGCCAAAGGAACTCTCATCTATCAGTTGTGCTGCCACATTCTGCTCTGGCTGAAATAGATAAAACAGTTTACTTCTTACTTAGCATATTAAGTTTAAAAGATTTCAGACTTAAAATTGTTAATTCCTAAAAAATATATTCTCCATAAAGGAATTTGTATTTTATGTACAATAGCGCTACTCAAGTGATTCATAAATCATATTATTTGAGATTTGTGTAACAATTTATCAAATATCAAACGCTGTTCTTTAAAACAGCTGTGCAATAACATATACATAAATGATATATAAACAAAATTATAAACTATTCATTTAACTGGGGGGAAAGGGCAGAGAAGAAAGCAAGGAAAACCCGTGGCATATAAGTTCATTGTAAAGCAAACCCTTGTTGCCCAGGATACAAGAATAGGCAACTAAGTGAATATCCAGACTGCAGCCTGGTCAGTTCTCTCACAGTGTTTCTCCAAATAGCCCTAGGTAGAAGCAGTCTGTTCCTTAGATAATTTCAAACTGTTGGAACCAACAGCATATCTTGAAAACAGAAGTTACATATATGTGAAAATGAGCTCCTCTGAGTAACCCAGCTGCAGTATTCTGCACTTGCTATTATCTCTGAATCACTCAAGGGCACATTACAGGAATCTGATGTTGAGGTTACCAAGGTATGTACAAGGTTGTCCTTGTTCAGAAAGGTAGCCACCATAACAGCTAGTAATAGGGTTATTTAGCACAATACTGTGTACCTGTTCCTGCAGGGAGACTGGAACCATACCCAGAGTGCAACTCAGGTGACTCAGTCTTCCACTTCAGCCAATTTGCCTTTATCCAGCCCACCCTTATATCCAAGCATAGGCTTGATTGTACACAACCACACCTGACAGGTGTAGATTTTTGTAGATTATAAGTTGCTTTATAAATGAAATATGCTTTTGGTATCCACACAGTGTGACTGCCAGTATGTATTTAGGTGAACCATTCTGTAACCAAACTTAAAGATGGTATCAAATTATTCAGGGTAATAGATTTTTAAGCAGAATAAGAAAAAATGATGAGAGTAAGAATCACAAGAACAAATAAGATTCAGTATAAGCAAATTCAAACTAATGTATATAAAAATAAAACATCTTAAATCATGAAAATATTATGAAAATATCATAATTACTTTGAAAAACTTATTGAGATAGTGATGGACAGTTAATTGGACTAACTCAACTGTATTGGTAAATTCTGTGTTATGTATTATTCCATTACTTATCAAATAAATTTGAACTATTGTAAAACAGTTCTGTTGATCATATATAAAAAAGGATATCAAGGCGTTGGAAGAACACACATAGCAAACCAAACCAAAAGAGTACAGAACTGTAGTGTATGACTTGAATATTGTTGTTTTCTGAAGCTGAGTTCAGTACTACCTTCTTCCCGCCTCAGATCTAATTTAATGTGGTTATATGGCAAACCTGTTTTCAAAATATGCCAGATAGTGTTGCTTCTGTCCATCTTAGGACTTGGGGACCTTTAACTGCAAACCTTTGGGAAGCATATTAGTGGTGGCTTTGCTGCTGTTCTGATTGTGGCCAGCTCTCTCCTAGCCTCGCTCTCCTGACATTGTTTCAGGAAAAATGGAGCGTGAACAATTCCTCCCTCTGAAGGAGTCCTCTCTAATAAATGCAGACATTAAGCTGAACCTAAGAGTAAAGGGAATATTGGTATGCATGTACATTATTTAGAAAAGTAAAGTGCTTGTTGACAAAGACGTGTGTATATATGTATGTACTGCATAGGTTCTGTTTTGACTTGATGCTATATAAATTGGCCTCAGATCAATAATTATTTATTCCAGGAAGCATGAGAGTAACATTTTCACACTACAGTAAGCAATACTAATTTTAAACATAATTATTTCGTGCTTGAATAAGACTATTACAGAATTCTACGCATTTAAGACATATTGTTATCCAAATGGCTTTTTAAATTCTATGTAAACATAATTTGTTGTATTTTAAAAAATGAGATACAAGTTTGAAAGAAAGCTAACTTTGTTCTCCTTTTTTCCAGCTTTAATTCTACATGTTGCTGCTGAAAATGGAAAGGATTGGATTGGACTCCTGACAGAGGTACTAAATTCTTGTCAGAAGACAGCAGGAAGCTTTGAAAAGATTTACCTGTAAAATATGTCAGGTTTTGATATAAATAGGTTTGCTTGAAATGGAAAAGAAGTTTTTCACAACTCTGATTGTGAACTGCCTTGTAATCTCATATTTTAAAGTTGTTTTCATACCCATCATGCTTACTGTCCGTTAAATCCATTGGAGTTGGGCGGCTTATAAATTCAAATAAAGAAAAAAAAATACTGTTCATATATGGTTCGATATATGTGGAAAGACATGGCATGTCATAGCAGGTGATAGCATTCAGCTCAGCTTTGTCAGTACTTGGATGGGAGACCACTAGGATATGCCAGGGTTAGTCAGTAGACTGAGAATACTTTCCTCCATATATTGCATGGTTATTTCCTACTGCAAACATTACCTTCATGAGTGTGAGCCCAATGCATATTGTTGTATATGTTGTATATTAATATATATTGTGTGTATACACAAACACACACACACACACACATTTGCTCTTCTTAAGCAACAGATGGTTCTTACATTGCTAGAAATGTTATACATTAGTCATTCTTCAATATTTTTCTTATTTTATTGTCTGAAATATTTATGCTACTTCAATTTAAAATTGTATTATATACAGTACTGTGCAAAAGTTTTAGGCAGGTGTGAAAAAATGCTGTAAAGTAAGAATAATAAATAAAGTAAGAATGCTTTCAAAAATATATATTGTAATTGTTTATGTT